ATTTTATCCTAATAAAAAATTATAATTTCATATTACCTTTATTTTGTGGGTTCGATATACTCTAAAGTTCAAAATCAAGCTTACCATTTGAATGTCTAAGTAAATATTTATATAAAGGAAAATATAAAAAATATTATATAAATATCTACATTTTATTAGACATTCAAATGGTAAGCTTGATTTTGAATTTTAGAGTATATTGGACCCATAAAATAAGGGTAATATGAAATTATAATTTTTTATTAGGATAAAATTATATTTTTTAACGGTTATATTAACAGATATCAATGAAAATGAGTTACATGTTGTACGTGCAAAAATGTTATGAGATGTAGGAATAATATTTTAAATGTAAAGAGGTCCAAATGATTAAGTGACAAACATGAGGAGATCTAAATATATTTTATCAATTTAGTTTTAAGTGCATAATGATACAAATTTCTATATTTGAGAGTGTAAATTGAGATTTTTTATCTTTGGGGTGCACATTGATATAAATTTCTATCTTTGAGGGTGCAAATTGAGATTTTTGATCTTTGGGGGTAAACATTGATACAAATTTCTATCTTTGGAGGTGCAAATTGAGATTCGAACGATCTTTCGAAGTATAAAATGAGATTAACCCTATATTTATCTAAAATGTTAAAAAAAATATATGTATGTGGGTCGGGGAAACAGACAAAAATTATGTGAATATTTCGTATTTCTATTTNTACAAATTGAGATTTTTGATCTTTGGGGGTACACATTGATATAAATTTCTATCTTTGGGGGTACAATTGATATTCGAACGGTATAAAATGAGATTAACCCTATATTTATCTAAAATGTTAAAAAAAATATATGTATGTGGGTCGGGGAAACAGACGAAAATTATGTGAATATTTCGTATTTCTATGTGACTGTTTACCAATTTTTGAAATACTACATACCCTTAAGATTTGTAGGGCGCATCACACTTAGATCCCTACTGTAATAAATTATATTTAGATTTTTTAAAATTTATAGGTATATAATATTTAGATCCTTTAAGTTTAAAATATTATATTTAGACTAAAAATATTTTAATTAAAATAAAATATCAAAGAGTAATATTAAANGATCCCTACTGTAATAAATTATATTTAGATTTTTTAAAATTTATAGGTATATAATACTTAGATCCTTTAAGTTTAAAATATTATATTTAGACCAAAAATATTTTAATTAAAATAAAATATCAAAGAGTAATATTAAATGGATTTAAAAATTAGACTTGATAATCTCAACCATTGAATAGGTAGTGGGTCCCAATAAATACTGAGACCTACAGTGAAATCAATGGTTGAGATTATTAAGTCTACTTTTTGAGTCCATGTAGCATTGCTCAATATCAAATATTTTAAATTTTACAACCAAAATTAATGTTCTATTGTATTATTTATTAAAATAAAATCAAAAAAANTAAAAATTAGACTTGATAATCTCAATCATTGAATAGGTAGTGGGTCCCAATAAATACTGAAACCTACAGTGAAATCAATGGTTGAGATTATCAAGTCTAATTTTTAAGTCTACTTTTTGAGTCCATGTAGCATTGCTCAATATCAAATATTTTAAATTTTACAACCAAAATTAATGTTCTATTATATTATTTATTAAAATAAAATCAAAAATAAAAATTCAATTTTTTCCAAAATAATTGTAATTAATATACAATTATATAGTCTATCGTATAAAAATCGTAATTAGTCAAATTTCATCGTACTCGACCAATCAAAGAAAAATATATGTTTGTTAGCCACTCAATTTTTTATGCAAGTCACTCGATCGGGTCGGATAAAGCCAAAATTGGTCAAGTACGGTGAAATTTGAATACTCCTACCTAAAAGATTAAGTCAATAAAATAAATTTAATTTTTAAGTCCAAAAATATAATCCACTTCACACATACACATTTTAAAAGATAAAAAAAGAGTTAATACTTTGATTAAAAATTATAGTAAGCATGTCTTTTTTTCATAAAATAAAAATAAATCAAACATATTTTCAACTGTTCTCAAACTCGATTTTGTTCTCATTTAAATGTAAAAATACTAACTAATAAAATTGTTAAGTATCATAAAGGATCCACAATAAAAGTAATTAATATAAAAAAAAAACTTTTAATAAAGTTGTTATCAAGAAAAATAAAACACAATAAAATAATAGGTGAACATTGTATACATAAAAAAGTTAAAGATTATAAAAAAATTATAAAATAATTCAATAATAAGATAATAAATAATTATGAATGTATATTGATAGTCGATCATGTAATACCACACTTTTCATGAATAATATACNAAAAAAAACTTTTAATAAAGTTGTTATCAAGAAAAATAAAACACAATAAAATAATAGGTGAACATTGTATACATAAAAAAGTTAAAGATTATAAAAAAATTATAAAACAATTCAATAATAAGATAATAAATAATTATGAATGTATATTGATAATCGATCATGTAATACCACACTTTTCATGAATAATATACAAAACAAACAAAAAGACTATAAAAATAGTAATTAAACAATATATTATATCCCAAAAGTGTGGGCCAAACAAACGATGAGAGAGACAAATAAATGTGTGGATCTATATATTAAAAAATGTATACTTACTCACAGTGATCTATATATTTACTAGTAATTGTCTGTACCNATAATCGATCATGTAATACCACACTTTTCATGAATAATATACAAAACAAACAAAAAGACTATAAAAATAGTAATTAAACAATATATTATATCCCAAAAGTGTGGGCCAAACAAACGATGAGAGAGACAAATAAATGTGTGGATCTATATATTAAAAAATGTATACTTACTCAAAATGATCTATATATTTACTAGTAATTGTCTGTACCTAAAGGCACTACGTTACTTATAAAAAATTGTAAATATTTGTTCATAAAAAAAATAATGTATAATACAATTTCAACAATACAAAAATCAAATTAATATTGTTCAATCTGTGTGCAGAACATATATAATAAAACTTTTATATAACGAAAATCATTCTACAACTACTACAACATATGAATTCAAAAATCTGAGAAAATATAATTATTAAGGAAAATTACACACAGACTCCTAAGATTTATCACTTAATCATTCAAACCATCTGATATTTAAAATATTATATANTTTCAACAATACAAAAATCAAATTAATATTGTTCAATCTGTGTGCAGAACATATATAATAAAACTTTTATATAACGAAAATCATTCTACAACTACTACAACATATGAATTCAAAAATCTGAGAAAATATAATTATTAAGGAAAATTATACACAGACTCCTAAGGTTTATCACTTAATCACTCAAACCATCTGATATTTAAAATATTATATATAGACCCCTGAAGTTTATACGCAGGTAATACTTAGACTCCTGCTGTAAATATATTCGCTAATAATTACATCCAGACCCCTTGAAGTTTGTAAACATATTACTTAGACTTCTTAAGTTTAAAATGTTATATTTATATCAAAAATACTTCAATTAAAGATAAAATATAAAATATTTTAAATTTTACCATTAAAATTCATGTTCTATTTATATCATTTATTGAAATAAAATAAAAAATAAAAATTCAAATTTTTCTTAAAAAATCATAATTAGTATACAATTATATTGTCTATTGGAATTTAATTTGATCGTTTAAAGAACCAAATTAAAATACCAAACTACCCCAATTAAAGCTAAAAGATATTGAATTCATTACAGTTTGACCCTTTATTTAATTTTTTAGTTTTATTTTAATAGATAGTATAATTATATACTAACTATGATTTTTTTTGTAAAAAAATAGATTTTTATTTTTGATTTTATTTCAATAAATGACATAATGGAACATGAATTTTGGATGTAAAATTCATGTCTATTATGAATGACTTAGACCCCTTATTTGATTTTTTTTGTTTTATTCAATAAATAGTATAATTGTATACTAATTACCGTTTTTTAAGAAAAAATTAAATTTTATCTTTAATTTTATTTCAATAAATGATACAATGAAACATGAATTTTAATTGTAAAATTTAAAATATTTGATATTTTATCTTTGATTAGAGTACATTTGGTCTAAGTATAATATTTTAAACT